CGTCTCTCTCTCTCTCTCTCTCTCTCTCTCTCTCTCCTCCTCCTCTCTCTCTCTCTCTCTCTCTCTCTCTCTCTCTTTCCATCAACCAACCCGATTAATTCCGAATTCTGAATGATGATATTGAGAAAAGTAGCTTCACGAAGCCTCGTCGCCGCCTCTTTGCATTTCACGTTCTTCGCCTCTATTATCGCGGGCTGACGAAAAACGCGGGTGGTGCCGGCATCGAGGCGCGCGATCAGCTGTTAACGCCGATCGAAAGCCGCACGTTGCAGCCAGCGTTTCTCGCTCGGGTCGTCGATTGTCGCCGGATTCTCGGAAGAGGGAGAAAGCGAGACCCCCCCCGCGGGAAAAGCACTATCGAGTCGTTAGTCCCAATACGTGGCCAATGGCGCACGAGCAGAAAATGCGACACCTCCCCATCGGCGGAATTGTCAAATAATATCCGTACGTTTTCGAAAGTCGTGTACGGCTGTGTGCGCGCTTCCCATCAACTCCCGCTCGCTCGAGCTCACCTGTTTTGTGTCCATCAATTATATTAATCGGACACGCTGACGTTAATCAAGAATGGGCGTTCGCGGAATTCCGAGGATCTCGATATCTCTAATATCGTATCACTCTCGCGCCGGTAACGAGAATCGAAGTCACGACCTCGTAACACACGCGCTCTCTTACTCGGAGAACGTGCATACCGACACGCGGATGCGCGCGTATAGGAGCTGTTATGCGAGCACTCGCTCGTGTACGGCACGCACACCGAGACGCACGTTTATATACGTATACACTTATATATACACGACGCACGCATGCCGGCTCGATCGCGGTCGGAGGGAGATACGCGCGCTAACACACACACACGCACACACACACATACGCGCGCGCGCGCTCGCGACGAACACGTGTGCGCCCGTATATGTGTACTATCGCGACTGACTCGTTTAAAGAGCCGAGACGGCACCGCCGGATCCCTAGTAAGGCGCGCTACCGGCACGTTACAAAGGAACGGCACAACGCACCGCTGGTGCCGAGATATTTTCTAAAGATGCCCCCTCGATTCCGACGAATGCGCGAGACGAAACGAAACGCTTTCTCTCGGCGGGCACCGTGGCGGCGAGCGACCGGAAAAACATCGGGAAAACGCCGATCTGCTACTTCGCGTGGGGAGGACGCGAAATGCGGCGTGCGAAAACACGCCGACGGTGGTGGCACGCGTCGATCGAGCGAGAAGACGGAAGTGGCGCGAAGAGAGATACACACGCCCGCTCTCCGCGTTCGTTCCGTCTCTCTTTCCCTCGCGTTCCCTGGTGTTTTCTACTTACTTGGCTGCTCGCAAGCGTGTGCGCTGCGCCGCGCAGTATTTTGAGACGCAGACCCGCGCTCTCTTCCGGGAGGAGATTCAGCAGGGCCAGGCACACGGCGCGCGGCGCGTGTCACAGGACGGCGATGCCGGGCATCCCAGCCTAGATCTCCCG